TAAGCGAGTTAACTATATGAAGTGTCTAGGGCTGGGCTTGATACATAGTAAATGCTGCTCTCATTAAAACAGAAAGAAGCTCCTGAAATGTAGCAAGTACTCAATAAATGAGACCAGCAGACTTGGCATGTACCTTTTCAGCACCATCCTCTATGCTTTACACACCTGTACTGGGTGTGATGGGATCTCACCGAGACATGGTCTCTGCTTTCTATGACCTTATGGTCTAACTCAGGAGTCATGAGAAAGCACCTGTCCAGGTAAGGTATGTGATTTTTAAATGAGTAGTTCTGACCCTGAACACTGTGTGGCTTCAGTGTGGGAGTACAGCAGCGGAGTCATGGCAGAAAAGGGAGGATTCCTGCTGGACTATGACAGGCAGAGGGGAGGGAAGATGCAGGTGGGCAGGGAGCAGCGTGGGCAGAGCGGACAAGTGTGGATGGGAGAACCAAGACTGCAGATGGGGTGGGGACAGGGGTGCAGAGTGATGAAAGCCTAAGCCTTTATGTATTTGGTTTTGTTACATGACCATGGAGAGTCACTGAAAAACATCCCAGCAGAAGACAGTCATGATCAAAGTGTTTCAGACTAAATTGTGGCATATATAACAGTGATTCTCAATGATGGTGCTGTAACTCACCAGTGTGATATGATTCCTCACATGGTATATGACAAATCATTTATAGCCAATACCAAAGTAGTAGGGGTGTGTGTGTGTGTGTGTATTTACTAAATTAGAAAAGATGCAGGGGACTAATGTATAAAAAATGAAGTGCTCAAAAGCCATCTAGATACAAACTAACAAGATATTAAAGCTAGATTGATAAAGATAAATATTAAATAAGCTAGAATTAGATTTCTGCTTCATTTCTGCTTGTTTCTTTTTTTTTTTTTTTTCCTTTTTGTCTTTTTTCATGACCGGCAACAGATCGCAACCCTCGGTGTTGTGCCTGCACCTCGCTCAGCCAGTGAGCGGCCGGTCTGCATGTGGGATCCGAGCCCTCGGCGGGAGCGTCGCCGCGCTCCCAAGCGGCGCACTGTAGCTGTGCGCCACCGGGCCGGCCCTCTGCTTAATTGTTTCTAAAAAAATTTTTTAATAAAGATACTTGGGGCCGGCCCGGTGGTGCACTCGGTAGAGTGCGGCGCTTGGGAGCATGGCGGTGCTTCCGCCGAGGGTTCGGATCCCATATAGAGACCGGTCCGCTCACTGGTTGAGCGCGGTGCGGGTGCGACACTGAGAGTTGTGATCTCGTTGCCGGTCGTGGTACAGGCGCGACACTGAGGGTTGCGATCCCATTACCGGTCACGAAAAAAGACAAAAAGGAAAAAAAAAAAATAAAGATACTTGGATTCCATGCTAGGTCCCCCCTAGTCCTGCAGAATGTGTAAATACTGGCTATTTGCCATCTGTCAGGCAAATGCTCTTCAAAGAACAAAGGAGGTTGCATTCCTATCTGGTAGATGACAATTTATGTAATTTATGCTTTTTTCTTACCCCAGAAAAAGAAACATATACATGAGGTCAATGGTAACCCTCTGTTTGAAAAGTGAAGAGGGAGCATTTCTCTTCTCAAACAGCCCAGTGTCTATGAGGTTGTTATCGGTCTTTCTTTAAATCAGGCATTTGATCCCCATCTCATTTTCTTTCATATGAAAAAAGGCTGTAGGCTGGATATTGGAGGATTAGAGACCTCAGCATTATCCTCTGGTAGATCCGTGCCGCTAAATGGAAAGGACCACATGATGCCTACTGAGGAATCGGGGGCCTAACCAGGCAAATGGATTGTCAACAGCTGGTGTCCTAAGTGATGTTCTAAGACCACAGCCAATTAGCCTAGAGACACCCAAGTGACTCTTGACTTTTTCCACCATAAGCAATAGAATCAGTAAGTAATAGCTTTAAGAATCAGTAAGTAATAGCTTACTTTGCCTAACAAAGCTTAACTAAATAAGTAGGATTCTAGGAAATGATGTAAGAAGAATACTTTATTGTTTCCTCCAGGTTTTGAGAGATTCCTAAAAGTGCCCAAGGATTCTTACAACAGACCCTATGCACAAAACTTGGAACAGGGACTTTCTCCGGAGGGTAGAATTGCAGGTGGCTTTTAGTTTCTACATTCTTTATATCTTGTTATGTTTGAGTATTTTCCACAATTCTTATGTATTGGGTATGAAAGATACTTTCTAAAGGTCGTGAGAAAGTGTAGTCACTGACTCACTGGATGAACTTCAAAGAGTTGTTTACTATTAGTTTCCTTAGCTGAGAAATGGGCTTAAACCTGATTCATCCCAAAAGACTTCTCCCTCACGGAAGGAAGTGGAAAAAGCTTTCAAAATAAATTCATGTTTTCACAGGTCTAAGGTTGATGGAAAACGAAAGAATAAGTGACTCTGGAAATCAGCTGTTTCAAATAGGGACATTGGGTGGTGGCAATTGGCCAAAAAAAGTCACGTATGTGGATATGCTCAAAAAATCAAAAAAGCATCATGGGTCAATATCATTATCCAGCAACACGTATGGCTACTGAAAAGAGGTAGGTTTTTCAGGAATTTCACCGCCATAAAAAAAAAATCAGTAAGCTATAAAGCCAGAATTGTCAGGTCCTGTGTGGAGGTATTCCTGATCTATTCATTCATTTCATAATTCAATAAACACTTTATTCACAACCTACAATGTACCTAATAGCAACACAATCTACTAATAATTCAGGGACTTAATAGTTTCAACAGTGGAGGTTGATGTGAGCTGATACCTCACCTTTCCTTAGGGTTGGCATGTATTAGTGGTACCATTTAAGGGTACAGAGTTACTCTAATTAGAGGTAACTTACTATAAATGTATTAGAAATCAGGAGCCCTGGGTTCTGGTCCAGGTTTTATGATCCTAAGCAAGACTACATCTAGGCCACAGGTGCATCATCTGTAAAACAAGGGTGCTCATATATAATCCCTGCAGGCCCTTTCAGCTATACAAGAATGGGATTTGATATGATGGAAAGGGTGACATAAAACTGAGTTGATGGCCAACCCTAAATTTGCTAGCTGTGTGAACCTCAGTTTCTTCAAAGCTAAAATGAGGATAATAAACCTACTTTTCACCGTTGTGAGGATTAACTTCAAATAGGTCTGTGATATATTTCTTAGTAAAACTGGTACATAGGCAGTCAACATATATCACATCCTCTTGATTTCTACAAACCATCACACAGTATCATAGAATTAATGAACTTAGCCATATACATTTAAGCTTTAAAAGAAAATATATAGTCAATGTCTGTCTCCAGATGCTTTATTCTTTAGTGTATGCTCACTTGTCACTACTTAATTATTTGAGTGCTTTACTAAGCCGCAGCCCCAAGATGGGCAGGGAGAAGGAAGGGGCTCTGCCAACTGATGCTGAAAAAGCACGAAGGATGCTTGGCAGCCTGGAAACGGCATCCCCCCTCTCAGCACTAAGGCAGGGGAATGTGAGCTGCCACCTCTCTCCTTCTCAGATGGATGACCATATAATTTATCATCCACATTGTGACACTTTTGAGCATAAGAAACTAAAATGGGGATGTATGTCCCTGCCATCTTTCGAGCTTACTTTTTGTGACCTTTGTTGTCACATTTAAATTACGTCTGATGTCCTAATGGGGATCAAATTGCAAAATAAGATTTTATCCAAACGATCAATCTAAATTCTTTCTGTGTTTTTTAAAGACATGCAAAAAGAATATTTAACTAAAATTTGATAAATATGTGTTAGTTTTAGAAAGAATATGACAATAAAATAGTTACGTTTTTATTATTATAACGTATCCTTTGGTGCAGGATCAGCAAATTTCTTTTGTCAAGGGGCAGATAATAAATATTTTAGGTTTTGTGAACTATATAGTCTTTGTCATAACCACACAATTCTGCCCTGGTAGTGCAAACTAGCTGTGGTCAATATGTAAAAGAATGGGTGTGGTTGTGTTCAAATAAAACTTTATTTAAAAATCCTGTGAGTTGAATTTAGCTTATGGGCTGCAGTTTGCCAAACGCTGCTTTAAAATAATAGTTACTAGACTTTTGGAATTCATAAAACCAGGAACATAAAAACAATCTGGAATTGACTCAGGATTTCTGACTTCTTATTTTGCTAAGTAATGATGTTTTTAATTTTATTTTTTAAAGAAAAATCATTGCCTAGTACCTTTATTTCTTAGACTTTTAGGCAGCAAAAGACTAGAAAGGAAAAAAATTCAGAACAGATTTAGCTTTATGAAACACCCACCACATTGTCTGTATTTTTAAAATTTTTCCTTAGCTCGGTGACAACTTTGTCATGAATATGCTTAGGTTAACAGATAGGTCATTTGAGTTGCTTTTGGAGGTCACTGGGGTATGGTACAGTAGAAAGAGCATGGTATTTAAAAGATCAGGATTTGAGTAAGATTGGGGGAGTACTAAGAAGCGAGAGAAGAGCAGACCTTGAACATTGTTTTAATGGGACAAAAGACTCTGAAAAGTATCCCTTGTCTTGAATCACTGTTTCAAACAAAAACTCCAATATTAAGTAACCTCAGAACTCACCGGCTGCCATTGTGCAGGGTACCAGGCTGGGGGGCAATTGAAGCGGTTACAAGCTTGCACCGTGCTTGGCTTGGGCTGGTGACACAGCTCATCAGCCAGGATTACCGTTTCATTCATCTCTCTGGATAGCAGATGGGAGCAGAAGACGTCTCTGGTCTGCAGGCCAACCCCACAGGTGAGACTACATGGACTCCACTTGCCGATTTCCCACCTGAGAAGAAATCAGAGAGGAAGAGGACACCCTTAGTACCTGTGCAGAGAACACTTCCCATGAGCTCCAGTGTTGCTAATAGAGTAAAAACCCTTAACTGGAATGTCGAAAGTTTCAGCCCAAGATTGGATAGGAATTTTATCTTAAGCCTAGAACCCGTTCTCTCTCTTTATGCTCCAGAATTCATTTTAGCATTCAATCTAGAATTTATTCTAGAAAAAAGCAGAGGGTGATAAAATGGAACATCCAATTTTTGCCCATAAAATTACCAATAAGGATTACATCCACATCTGTTCTGATGAAATATATGAATGTAATTAAAATAAGGGGTATGCTAGGTGAGACATGAGTTGAATACAGAAAGGCTCTGGGCATCACGTATTGAATAGTGCATCTAGCAGACTTTTTGCTAATTTCTCCAGCTCCCATTCTCAGCAAGACTGAAACATTTGTGCTTGTTTTTCTTTGGCTTCAAAGTAAAAGGTCATTGGCTCCAACTTCCTTCAAACTTCCATCATAGCGTAGAAATGTCTCTGTCTTATGTATAAATATCATCACTGCCTGGGACTGGATAATGTCACAGAAGTGGAGGCTGCTAAATAGATCAGTCTTCCTGAGGGGAAATAAATGGAGAGAGCAGCTCATTATCTGACGTAGAAGTCAAATGCACAGAGATGAGCTGAGTGCACGCATTGGCCAGCTCCAAATGGCCAACTCTTGAGAAGTACATTTATAGTGAGCTAAGGGCCTATAAAAACAATCCCACTGTACTTCCTTGTTGATGCAGCAGCCTCCAAAATGGGAATGATAAGGACAAAGCTCAGTTGCTTGGGCTCTGAGTCAGAAGTGTTCTCTAATAATCAGTTCTGGCAAGTTCTGTTTACAATCTGAGGCACAAAGATTATACCAGCAGAAGTTAGCCAAGAAAAGCATGGCGAGTACATCCTTTGGCAGCTGGGCCTGCCTAGCTCTCATAGCCAACCCTGCCTGAAAACTGGTTAAAAAAACTTTGGCATTAATGATTTTCATTAGACTGTAAAGCTGAGTCCAAACTCTCAGTCTCTTTCTGCTGCTCTGGTGTATAACTACCTTTGCAAACCCTATTTCCATGACCTCTTTTTGTCTACACTATGCTCAGCCATATCCTTAATGAGCTACTTTGTTATTCTCATTTAAGCCCCATGGTTTTCTAGCTACGTCTTTGTCCAAACTATGTTCCTAATTTGGAATATCTTTTGCCTTTTCCTTATGCCTCAAAATTTCTTCCATTTCTGCATATCCAAATTTGACAAATATTTAGAAGATTGTATCCATACCTGCTCCAGACACTGATAATTTTCTCAACTGTATGATAATTATTCTGCCTGTCAAGGGCCCTACTAATGTATATTCCTCCTGAGGTAGGGCCTGTGTCTGAATCACTTTTTTAACACTCACAGAGTCCATCATAGACCTTCTAGATAGTTAACATATATGCTTAATAAATTCCTGATAAATTAGCAAATGGAAGGGACCTACCATCAGAGAAGGCACTTTAGTACCTTATCTCATTTAATTACCTCCAGAACAATATGAGACAAGCTCTGTTGATTTTTCTCATTTTACAGTTGAGGGAATCAAGTACCCATAATTACTAAAAAGTGAGTCCAGGATTCGAACTTGGGTGTATCTGGCTCCAAAGCCTTTGTACTTTCTTTGGTATTATGCTGTCTACAGGAAATATTTTGAAAACTCTTTTAATAAACATTCACAAAATTTTAAATGAATAGAAGAGGAGAGGCAGGGTGGATTATATATTTTTTACATCCTTGTGTGAATTTCTATAAACTTATTCTCTTATTTATAGACCCCTACCATGAGTTAATTCCAAGCTTTCCAATGTTGTGGTGCCATTGGTTTTAAGACATGTTCACACATTCCGTGCCACTCCTCCCTTCTCTCATGAAGTCTCGAGTGTAGACTGGACTTAGTGGCTTACTTCTAATGAAAAGAATGTGGCAGAAGGTATGCTATGTGACTGCCAAGGCTAGATCATAGAAAGGACAAAGCTTCTGCTTGGCCTTTTCTCTTTGATTGGTCACTCATGGTGGTGGGAAGCCAGCCAACATGTCATGAAGACACTCAGACAATCTTAAGAAAAGTCCATGTGTGGAAGAACTGTGGCCTTCCCATCAATAGTTAGCACCCATCTGCCAGTGAGTGACCCACAGAAGTCAGCACCTACTTGCCAGTGATGTGAGTGAACTACCCTGAAAGCAGATCCTCCAGACCCAGGCTAGCCTTCGGATAATTGCAACTTCAGGAAAGAACTTGAGGCCAAACTACATACCTGAGCTGCTTCCAAATTCCTCACACTCACAGAAACTGTGAGGGATGATAAATGTTTATTGTCATAGGTTTTGGGGGAAACTTGTTATGCAGCAATAGACAACAAATACAAGTATATTTCCCTTCCCAATGTGCATATGTTCATCCAAAGACACTTACAAAAATATTCATAGCAACACTATTTATAATAGCTCAGACTGGGAAAAACTCAAATGTTCATCAACAGATGGATAAATAGGAACATGATATATTCATAAAATACTGTATAAAGCAATGAAAATAAACTGCAATAACAAGCAATAACATGGATGAATCTCACAAACAAAATTGAGTGAATGAAGCCACAAACACAAAAATCCACGTAGCTGTCTCTTGATATTTGTGGGAATTGGTTCCAGGACCTACTGTGGATACCAAAATCTAAAGATGCTCAAGTTTCTGATATAAAATGTATATATTTTCAAATAACCTATGCACATCCCCTGTATACTTTAAACTGTCTCTGATTACTTATAATACCTGTTACAATGTAAATGCTGTGGAAATAGTTGTTATACTGTATTGTTTTGGGAATAATGACAAGGAAAGTCTGTACATGTTCAGTAGAGATGCAACTTTAAAAAAATATTTCCCATCTGCATTTAGTTGAATCCGCAGATGTGAAACCTATGGATATGGAGGGCTGACTATACTGTGTGATTTTATAAGCTCAAAACCAAAAACTAACCCATGGTATTAGAAGTCAGGATGGTGGTTACCTTTGGTAGGAAGGAACTAGAACAGGGCACAATGGAGAGGGCTTCTGGGATGTTATCTAAATCTGGGTTCTGGATCTGGGTCCAATTTGTGAAAAATCACCAAGCCGTAATGTATAGAATTTGTGCACTTTTCTCTGTTTGTTATGCCTCAGAAAAGGTGGGGTTTCTTTCCTACTTTTAACTGAAATACTAAAATGGTATGAAAACAAAATCAGACAATCACTTCCAGTCACACTGACGACCTCTCTACGTTTGTCTCGTAAAAGAGCTGCCCACACAGTTAATGCTGTCCCAAGGTTAAAGCTTGTCAGAGTAGAGGTTTCACACCCTCACTCCCCCGCCCTTGCCCCCACCTCTGGCACAAATTCAGCCACTGGGACCTTGAAGTAGAGGCATTTTTGGCAGCCATGAGGCCACTTGAACACGGCTTGGAGAAACTCACAAAACAGACATATCTGTCTACCCTGATAAAAGAACATGACATTCTCAAGGAAGGAGGTCAGCAGAAGCTATCTGTGTATTAAGCACTTTGCTGATTTTTGGATCAAAAACATTTAAACAACTCAGGCCCAAAAAAGGGAAAGCAGACACTCTCTCCCTACTTCTTCCCTGCATGGAGGCTGCAATTGTGGGCCTGGGTCTTGCTGGCTGCTGAGGCCCCCTCTCAGCATTCTGTGCCTCTGGCTGTTTCTGAGAGAGGGACTGCAGGCCAGTGGGAGCCAGCCTGGGCCAAGACTGGCTGTGGCTGGTACCTGTGAGACTCCTACAGGCCTGCCCTGGGACTCCGTGGCCTGGCTTCAGCATAAGCCCGATGCTCAGGACAGGAGCTCTGGTCTCATGTCAGAGTTGGGTATTAGTACCTCTGTCCCTTTCGCTTGATTGACTTTTACTCATCTTTTCCTCTGTACTTAAAGTGTTACTTCTTCAGGGAGGATCCCCTCGACTGGGTAAAATTCTCCTACTACACGGTCCCGTTAATATATTCCTCTTTGAAAATTATCAGCATACATGTAATCAGACTACCCGCTGGACTGTTAGCTGGATGAGGGCGTGGGGCCATGTCTATTTGGGTTTATCACTTGTTATGGGTTGAACTGTGTCCCCTAAGAAGATATGTTGGAGTCCTAACCTTTAGTACCACAGAATGTGACCTTAAGCAGACATGGGGTCATTGCAGATGCCATCACTTAAGAAAAGGTCATGCTAAAGTAGGGTGGGCCCTTGACCCAATGTGACTAGTGTTCTCATAAGAAAAGAGAGAGTCACACAGGGAGAAGGCCATGTGACAATGGAGGGAGAGACTGGAGTGATGCAGCTCTGAGCCAGGGAATGCCCAGTATTGCTGGCAACACCAGAAGCTCCAAGAGGCAAGGAAGATTTTTCCCTCACAGGCTTCAGAGGAGGCATGGCCCTGCTGACACCTCTTTTTGCACTTGGTTTCAGTTTCCAGAACCATGGGAAAATAAATTTCTGTTGTTTTAAGCTGCCCAGTCTGTGGTACTTTGTTTCGGTGGCCCTGGCATACCAGCCCTCCACCATAACCTTCACGTCTAGCACGGTGCCTGTAACACAGCAGGTGCTCAGTGAGTATGTGATGACTCAAACCGATTCGGATTCCTAAGGAAACGTGTGTGCACCTTTGGACTAAGTCACCTGACTGTCAACATCTCAGCTGTGTCCTCTAAACAACCGCCCACTCCCAATGTCAAAGTCCCCAAAGCTCTGAACACCACAGATTTTTCTTCAGTGTGATGTAAACTCTTTTGGTGACAGAACTGGACTTGAATTGACATGCTTTTGATAGGCTGCATCCCACTTCACATAAATATTTATACATATTTCTGCAGCGATATTGGCATGTTAGATTATGGTGTATCCCCCCCAGAAACTGCTGGGGGTATTACACAATTTATG